ATTATTATTATTATTATTATTATTATTATTATTATTATTATTATTATTATTATTATTATTATTATTATTATTATTATTATTATTATTATTATTATTATTATTATTATTATTATTATTATTATTATTATTATTATTATTATTATTATTATTATTATTATTATTATTATTATTATTATTATTATTATTATTATTATTATTATTATTATTACTATTACTATTATTATTATTGTTATTATTATTATTATTATCATTATTATTAATTATCATTATTAATTAGAAATGGATTTCAATTGATGCAATTATAAATGAATAAAAATTAATGCTTAATTTTGCTAACGTTAGAACAAATTTTTGATTCAGCTCCTTCATTTAGTAGTAAACGTATCATTCCGGAAAGCGGATTCCGTGCCGCAATATGTAATGGCGTTTCACCATCATTACGTGTAACGTTTGTTTGCGCCCCACTTTTCAATAACATTATTGCACATTCGATTGCATCATCTGTAGTTAATGATGCAGCAATATGCAATGCTGTTTCACCAATTGCACCTCCATGAACATGCACATCTGCGCCATATCCTAATAATGCTTCTACAACGGATGCTTTACCTGCTTGTACTGCAACATGTAAAGCCGTATAATTGTCCTGCAATTATATTAATTAATTTTTCTTCTTTTTTGTGTTAAATTACTTGATAAATAAATGCTAAGCAACTTTTTTAAACTTCAATTTATATTTCATTACAATAATTAATTATTCAATTTCGTTTTAAAATTTTTTGAAGAAAAAAAAAGATTGATTTTCAGAAAATTTCTTTAAATGAATATTATTATTTCAACAAATTTTTTTTAATCTAATTAATTCGAACAAAATTGAATTTTTGAAAATTTTTCAAACAAAATTTTAATATTTTAAATTTTTGATTGAAAAAGTAATTTTATAGCAATGAAGATATTATTACTCTAGTTTTGATATCAACATTTGTTCCTCGAGCAATTAATAGCTGAACAACATCTGTAAAACCAGCAGCTGCTGCACAATGTAAACCTAATGCACCTGAACTAATTAATTAATTATATGAATATTCTAATACAAAAGTTTCAAAAACAAAAAATAAGCAAAAACAAAAACAAAAATAAAAACAAATAAATTATCATATAACCATTCAATAATATATTAATAATTAAAAATAAATTACCATTGATTAATTCATTTCCTAAGTAAATTGATAATGTTTTAGCTTAGAATTTAACAAATTAATGCTAAAATTGAAAGAAATATATGTTTTATCAATGAAATTATTATAAAATTAATTAATTAATCAATCGAAAGGTATTAATTTTATAATTATTTTATTACCTCGTTTATTTGGCATACAAAGTGGTACACCATGTTTTAGGAATGCTAATGCAGTAGAAGCATGTCCACTTAAAGCGGCAACATGCAACAATGTACTACCATCACGTGTACGAGCACGTACCGATCCATCAAATTTCTCAATTAATAAATGTGCAATATTTGTATGTCCAGCAGCTGCTGCAATATGCAATGGTGTTCGATCTTCCTAAAAAATAAAAAAAAAAAGAATAATTAATTATTAATTAAAAATTTTTTAAAAACTATGATAAAAATTAAATATTACATAAGTAAAAAAAAATAAATTCTTAAATGATTTTTTTTTTTAAAAAAAAAAGTTAAATTTTTAATGTTTTACATATCAAAATTCTTAAATACTTGTTTTTTTTCTTTTTAATTTCAAAACTTAAAATATCAACCCAATGGCTTCTTTTTTTCTTTCAATTTTTATATCATTTAAATAAATTTGATAATGTCTAACCTTATCAGCAATATTTGCATTAGCTCCTAATTTATGCAAAATTTTTAACAATGAAACATTTCCTTTTAATGCAGCTTCATGAAGTATTGTCCAACCCATTGAATTTGTTGTATTTATATCAATTTGATTATAATTCATTAAAAATTGCAACATATTATTTTTATCTGAGCGACATGCAATATGCAATAATGAATCACCATTTGCATCCACCTATTAATAGAAATAATATTTGATGTAAAAATTAAAATTTGGGATTCCTTTTTTTTTTTTTTTTTTTA